CGCGTCGGGCTCTGGGCTGATGGCTCAGAGCCTGGAGCCTGTTTCCGATTCTCTGTCTCCCTCTCTCTCTGCCCCTCCCCCGTTCATGCTCTGTCTCTCTCTGTCCCAAAAATAAAAAATAAACGTTGAAAAAAAAAAAAATGTTCAGCATTTTCAGTGATTGTGCAGCAGCAAAGGTTCAGAGATTATGGCAAATCATAACACACAGCTAGCACCAGGTGTTGCCACAATCTGGCGTCTTTGTCCCAATATCAGTAAATATGGCAGTTTTCTGGGGTCCACTGGGACTTTTGCCTGTGGGGAGACCATAACACCTCTACCAGATGCACTCTAAGCAAGGAAACTGCTTCTCCCCTCTGTGGCACATGGACCCCACAGACCGGCACTGCCTGCTCTTGATGATTCACCCTACTTCCTCACCGGAGCACCACCAGGCACTGAGATCCTAAACTTCACACTTTGTGCTCCACTGTTTATAGAATCCTGGTGGTATTGAAAATCTCTCTTTTCTCCCTGTCAATGATTGTTGGGAACGGATTTCCTAGTCAGTCTCCTGCAAGTGTTTTCACTCTTTCTCTTTCTTTCTCTCCAGCTGCTTTTTGGGGGGATGCTTTTCTTGCACAGATCCCGATGCCCTGCGCTCTTCCCCTTTCACTTCTTTCCCTGTTCAGTCTCTGCGAAAGCAGCTCCCTTTTCTCTGCAGCTTTTCTATCCCCCAGTTCACTTCTCTGCACTGCGTACCTGCCACCCAGGTGCCCCAGTAAATTTGTTTTAAAAACTAAGGATATTAGGGGCGCCTGGGTGGCTTAAGTCGGTTAAGTGCCTGATTTCAGCTCAGGTCATGATCCCACGGCTCATGAGTTCGAGCCCTGTGTCACTGTGTGCTGACAGCTTGGGGCCTGGAGCCTACTTCAGATTCTGTCTCTGTCTCTCTCTGCCCCTCCTCCACTCTCTCCCTCTCCCTCTCCCTCTCCCTCTCCCTCTCTCCCCCCCCCCAAAATAAATAAACCTTAAAAAAATTTTTTTAAACAAATTTACTAAGGTATAATTTGTATACTATTTTAAGTGATGGATTATTTTTTTGTAAATTTACAGAATTGTGCAACCATTATCACAATCTAATTTTAGAACGTTTCCATCTGCCTAAAAAAGAAACCATGTACTCCACTGGTAGTCACTCTCCTTATCCATAGTTTACTGTGCCCAATGATGTATGTTTAGCTTTCTACAAATGACTTTAAACTATGATAAATGTGAGTCCTGCAGAATTTTACAAGATTATTTAGCCCTCTAGTTTATTAAATTGTTTGTTTTTATGTTTTGAAGTTTTGATAATTTAAACCATGAACTTTTAAAATGATATTTCTTTACTCACATACCTAAATTGTTTAATAGGAGAGTGGTGAGAATAATTTGTATAAGAAGGGATTGATTTTGAGAAATCATTTTTCAGGTTTGATTCTTCTTTGGTGCTAGTTAATGAACAGGAAGAAGTTATTGAATAAATATAAAATTACAAATTTATTCAAGCCTTGATAGGGATTTAGTGGAAAATTTATTATGCCTTTCAAAATGACTAAGATTTCATAAAATAATGCTTTGCTAAGATTGTCATAAAAATAAATTTGTCATTCTTTTATTTATTTTAGCTTCTCAGAACCAAGAACGTCTATGTGCATTTAAAGATCCCTATCAACAAGACCTTGGCATAGGTGAGAGTCGAATCTCTCATGAAAATGGAACAATATTATGTTCAAAAGGTAGCACTTGCTATGGCCTTTGGGAGAAATCAAAAGGGGATATAAACCTCGTAAAACAAGGCAAGTAATACTTTTCTTACCTGAAATAACTTTGTGTTTCATATCATTGAAATTTATCTAACAAGGACATGGACATAGATTAAAACCGTCTCTAGGAAAACAGTTTTAAAATATATATCCATGTATATATTCATCCATAAATTCCATATTTGTGAAAGGTAGTTAGATTTAAGCTTATTTTTATAATATTTTTCCTATTATAATGTTAACAATGTATTTTCTTTCTGTGAAGTTTAGAAAATATAGAAAACTAGAAGAAAAACAAATGTCTACAATTCCATCCTCTTACAAGCTCTTTTACCATATTAGTTTATTCCCTGCAGGTATATTTTTTATGTACCTCTATGTTTATTATATGTGCGTATACTTATTTTTCAGAATTAGAATGATGTAGTATGTATAAACAATTTCATACCCAGTTTTCCCTATCTTAAATTATAGTATGAACATTTTCCCATATCTTTAAATATTCTTTGAGAACATTTTTATCCTCTGTACAATATTTCACTGTATACACACATATTGTGTACACACAATTTACTTACACATTACTCTGTTGTTGGACATTTACTGTTTTTCAGTTTTACTATAATACATAACGCTTCAGTAGATATCTTTGAACTTAAATCTTTGATTATATCTGATTATTTGCTTGGAATAGATTGCTAGAAGTAGACTTATTAAGTTATAAAGCATGAATATTTTAAAGGATCTTTATAAAAATTGCCATATGGCTTTCTAGAAATGCTATATACATTTACATTCCCTCCAGGAGTATATGGGAGTGTTACAATTGTATATTATTTTTTTAAGCCTAGAACAATTTAATAGATAAAAATGAAATATTAATGTTACTTTAATAGTAATTCTTAGATTAATGATGAGGTTAAACCATTATTAGTGGCTTTTCTCCCCATGAAATGCTTATTAATACTTTGCCATTTTTTTGTTATTTAAACAATGTGTATTTCCTATTGATTTGCAGGAGTGTTTTATAACATGTATGTATATGCACTTATTCTGTCACATTGATTGTAATTATTAATTTGTTATTTTTCTTTAAATTTTATATATTGTATTAATCCCTAACTTGTTTACGTTAATATCAATTTGTAGGATGTTGGTCTCACATTGGAGATCCCCAGGAATGTCACTATGAAGAATGTGTAGTAACTACTACCCCTCCCTCAATTCAGAATGGAACATACCGTTTCTGCTGCTGTAGCACAGACTTGTGTAATGTCAACTTTACTGAGAATTTTCCACCTCCAGACACAACACCACTCAGTAAGTACTTTAAGTATCTTACTTTTCCTTGTTAATTCCTTTCTGCAAAGATTTGCAAAATTTAAAAATATATAAAATCATCAGTTTGGGCAGGAGTGAGAGGGAGAGTTCAAAACTTCATGAGACTACTCTAACTACCACCTGAAATCCAAAAGAGGTGCACCAGGATTTCTAAGGTATCAGTAGATTACCAAATAATTTTGAATCAAAATATGGTACTTTTCCAACACCTGTGGAGGAGAATTTGGCAATATTAAGAAAACTACAGGGGCGCCTGGGTGGCGCAGTCGGTTAAGCGTCCGACTTCAGCCAGGTCACGATCTCGCGGTCCGTGAGTTCGAGCCCCGCGTCGGGCTCTGGGCTGATGGCTCAGAGCCTGGAGCCTGTTTCCGATTCTGTGTCTCCCTCTCTCTCTGACCCTCCCCCATTCATGCTCTGTCTCTCTCTGTCCCAAAAATAAATAAACGTTGAAAAAAAAAAAATTAAAAAAAAAAAAGAAAACTACATGTGTGCTTTCTTACTCTTTCATTCAGCACCCCCATCTGTAGGATTTTATCTTGAAGATATATTTCTAACAGTACAAAAATACATATGCATAGAGGTACCTGGCTGGTTCACTTGGTAGAGTATGCAACTCTTGATCTCAGGGTCATGTTCAAGCTCCACATTGGGCATAGAGCTTACTTAAAATATATATGCATAGAGTTATCCATTGCAGTATTATTTGTAACTGCAAAATATTGGAAAATATCTAAAGGTTCAGGAATAGGAGATTAGTTAAAATATACTCTGGTATATACATATAATGGAGAACTACCTATACATCTATAACAAAAAATGAGTAAGATCCCTGTGAATTGATATGGAGTGATTTCTAGAGATAATGTTAGGTGAATAAAAAGCACATATACTATGCTGTCTTTGGTGTAAAACAGAGCTTACCATAATTTACAAAAACAAAAAACAAAAACAAAAGATAAACCAGAAAATAATGAAGTTGGCTACTAACAATGGAAGGAGAGAGTAGAGTGGAAAGTATACAAAAAAGAATGAAAGAACTTATGTAAGGATTTTGCAAACACAGTGTTTGATTATATATACTCTTTTGGACAAGATGGGATATAAGAGATGGAGGAGAATTGCAAACAAGTACTGAACTCTTTTAGGTTTGCTTTTTGGTAGTGTGGAACAAAGCAATTCTGAAACAACTGTAGGTGTATAATAGGATTAAGAAAAAATGAGTAAATGGTGTTGTTCTTGGGAGCTGGTGCTGTTACTGAGGGAATATGCACATACAATTATAGATAGGAAGACAAGAGAATATTATGTGAGTAGATTATAATTCAAGATGTAAGTATGGATTTATGACTTTAAAAACATACATATGTATGTGTTACATGCATGGATAGGTGGCCATATAAATATGTGTATATATTTGTATGTGTATATATTTATATTCATGTGTGTAGTATACCCATACACATACCTATGTAGATTTCTTAGCTCTATTTGTTGAAAGGACAAGAAGCATTAGCACCCCAGTAGCAGTAAGCAAATGTAATGCCCAGATTTAGACTTTATTTGTTTCTATTTATTTATTTTTTAATTTGTTTTTAAGTTTATTTTTTGAGAGAGGGAGATACAGAGCATGAGCAGGGGAGGGCAGAAAGAGAGGGAGACACAGAATCCAAAGCAGGCTCTAGGCTCCGAGCTGTCAGCACAGAGCCCAATGCAGGGCTTGAACCCACAAACCGTGAGATCATGACCTGAGCTGAAGCTTGACGCTTAATCCAATGAGCCACCCAGGCATCCCTAGTTATGTATGTATGTATGTATGTATGTATGTATGTATGTTTATTTTTGAGAGAGAGAGAACGAGAGCATGAGCAGGGGAGGGGCAGAGAGAGGCAGACACAGAATCCAAAGCAGGCTCCAGCCTCTGAGGTGTCAGCACACAGCCCGATGTGGGGCTCGAACTCAGGAGCATATGAGATCATGACCTGAGCCGAAGTTGGATGTTTGAGCCAACCAGGTGCTCCATATTTAAAAAAAAAAAACATTTTTTTAAATGTTTATTTTTTTTTTTTTGAGAAAGAGAAAGAGCGTAAGCAGGGAAGGGGCAGAGAGAGAGAGACACAGAACCCGAAGCAGGCTCCAGGCTCTGAGTTGTCAGCACAGAGCCTGATGCAGGTCTCGAACTCACGAGCTGTGAGATCATGACCTGAGCTGAAGTCTGACGCTCAGCCGACTGAGCCACCCAGGTGCCCCAAGGTGCCCCATGTTTTTAAAGTGTATTTATTTATTTTGAGAGACAGCGCACACATGCATGTGAGAAGAGGAGGGGCAGAGACAGAGAGAGAATCCCAAGTAGTCTCTGCACTGTCAGCCCAGAGCCCAATGTGGGGCTTGATCTCGGGAACTATGAGATCATGACCCGAGTCATGTCAAGAATCAGATGTTTAACCAACTTATCCACCCAGGCGCACCCAGATTTAGACTTTTATACCACTTCCCACTGAAAGGAAGTTGGGCTCCTTGGAAAAATGACTTATTCTAGGACGGGAGCAGGATAGGTACAAGATAAGCCCAAAGTGTCTTATAACACTAGAAAGTAAGAAAAGAAATGCCCCCAAACAGGTGGAGACTTGTTACAAAGGAGCTGGCTTGAAGTAACTCCTACTGGCTAAATTTGGGACAATTTGAGTGCTAAAAAAGTACAGTAGCAAATTGCAAACCATTGGAGGGAAAATGAACTCATGCATCTATGCTGAAAGCAGAGAAGGTAGAAGAGAGGGTACTTGTTTATAATAGAATGCCAGGTTTCCAACTGGTAAATGAAGGAGTTGGAAATTATCCTGCAGCTATCATGATAAAGATTGGATCAGACAAGAATAATAAAAATATCCTAAATCTAAGGGCATTTTCAATATGTAACCAGGATATTTGCATTGTTTTAAAGTCTTTCCCACATATTGCAAGGGAGAAATTAGTAATTATAAAGTGAGGGAATTGGATAACACCTTGACCAGGTCATTAAAATTAATATTACTAGTGAAGATGGTAGATGGACATCCATGATACCCTGAGAAGGACACAGTTTCACTAATAGAATACTATATTTCAGAAAAACCATGAACTAGGAATGCTCTGTTAGAAAAAGGAGATTTGTCAAAAATGTCAGTGTCATAAAAGGCAAAGAGACTGTGGGAAAGATCTAGATCAAAGGAGGCTAAGGAAACTTGACAACTAAGCCATACCTAACTCTCCTATACTGGATATAAAAAACTGTGACAAAGAACATTGTTAGACCAGTTGACAAAAGAGACGATTAAAGAATTCCTTTTTTTTTAATGTTAATTTTTATTTTTGAGAGAGTTTGAGCCCAGGAAGGGCAGAGAGAGAGGGAGACAGAGGATCTGAATGAAGTAGAGGCTCTTGACCTGAACCGAAGTCAGACACTTAACCAACCTAGCCACCCAGGTGCCCTAGTTAAAGAATTATTTCAATGTTAAATGTACTGAAGCTGATATCAGTACTCTGGTTATGTAAGAGAATATCCACATTCTTAGGAAACATTCTAAGAAATGTTTAGAAACATGGAGCTAGAATGTATATATATTAACTTTTCTGAAATACTTTTTAAAAAAGCGTGTGTGTGTGTGTGTGTGTGTGTGTGTGTGTGTGTGTGTATTCTAGAAAGAGAGAATGGTAAAACAAGTAAATGGGGTAAAATGGTAACAATAATTGAATATGGGTAAAGGTAAATATGTGGGTATACTTTATACTATTCTTATTCTTATAACTGTTCTGGAAGTCTTAAATTTTTTCTGAATAAAAAATTAATTTTAAGAAATACTTTTGAGATGTAGCACATTTCAAGAATTCTCAGTCAATAGCTTTTATCAGTCCATACCCTGAGATCTTCATTTTGGGATTATTTCCTTTAATGTTTTGATGAAACACTAACTAAACTGAGAGCAATAGGAAGTTTTTTCATGTAGTTCCTATCTACTCAAAGTCATTAGCTTTTATTAAGAAATTATACTCTGGGGCGCCTGGGTGGCTCAGTCGGTTAAGCGGCCGACTTCGGCTCAGGTCATGATCTTGCGGTCCGTGAGTTCAAGCCTCGCGTCGGGCTCTGTGCTTACAGCTCAGAGCCTGGAGCATGTTTCAGATTCTGTGTCTCCCTCTCTCTGACCCTCCCCCATTCATGCTCTGTCTCTCTCTGTCTCAAAAATAAATAAACGTTAAAAAAAAAATTTTAAAAAAAGAAATTATACTCAATTTACTACATTTATTTTCCACAAAGAAATAAAACAGGGTCTCTAAATTTCACTTTTACATCTAGGTAGTTGTAAGAAAAGTGAATTTATGCATAAGTTCTCAAGATTTTTACGGCCCGTTTTAGATTTTTACCTAGATTTTGGTCTGCTGTAACCTTTTGAGCCAAAAGCAGAAGTGTTGCCAACAAAGAATCAATAATGTTAGCCCAATAAAAAGGGAAAATGTTTTAATTAAATGCTCTAATTTGGGAGCATTAACCCATTTATATATTTTGTGGTAAACAAAGCAAGTAAATTTGAAGTTAGTGAATAAAATGGATATTATTTTTTTCATTAATCTCAAGAAAAATAATCATTATTATATAGAATATCTAACATTTAGTCTATAAATAATAGGTGCTTGATCAAAATAAAAAATCTGTAAGTGTTGAAGTTTAAAGAAATTAAAATATAGAATTAAGCAGAACTTTTTGTTCATGGTTATATAATAATACATCAGTAGAAAATTTGGTGATGGTGATTTTTTTTCTCCTTTAAAATTTTCTGTTATAAAAATATCATTTATTGAATATTCAACATAAATATTTGTTAAAAACATTTATATATGTTTAATTACTAGAAACACAGTGCAAACTTATCAGAGATGGAAAAGGGGGATAGTGTCGGGTGACTGTTGATGGGGAAGGTTACATATTATTCTCATACTCTTGTAGTCTT